AATCCTTTCCTCTACATCTCTGGAACTTTTCGGAGGCCTATAGAAAATTCCCAACAGGGTGACCTCTCCTTTCCTGTTTCTAACCTCAGTCCATACTAGTAGATGAGTCCTCATCAAATGTCCTTCCAAAACAATCTTGAATCTAATGGAGTAACAATTGCTGCCTGCCAAATGCTCCCCAAGTAATAAGTTGGATCGAAAATACACTCAGGCAGGAAGCCAAGGGTCATGGTGGGTATCTTTTTGTGAGTGGAAGACTGTTTCCAGTGATGTTCCACAGTGATCATTACTGGGTCTCATGTTTCTTTTTACGGTAATTTTATCAATGATTGCTTTTCCAAAATCTGAGATGTGATTAAAAAGTTTGCATAGGATATAAAAGTTGATCATGTGGTTCCTAGTAAGGAATGAAGCTGTAGATTGCAGACAAGTGTCAACAGACTGGTTGGCTGTGCAGAAAAATAGCATGTGGAATTGAATAGTGTGAGTGTGAGAAAAGGTTCACATGGCAAGAGAATAAATGATAAACGGGTGGATAGTGAGGGACCTTGGAAGGAATGTCCACAAATCCCTGAAGGTAGCAAGGCAGGTTAGTGAAGCGTTTAGAAGACATGTGTGTTACTTGTATATCTTAGCTCTCATTCTGTGCATCAGCTAAAATGTTATAGTGGAAATGCATGAAACATTAGATGGGACTCACCTTTACTGTACTATAGACAGTTCTGATCATCTGATTACAGGGAGGGTGTGATTACATTGGAGAGGGAATAGAGAAAATTTGTGAGGCTTGGAGAATTTTAGCGATGAGGAATAATTAGTTGTTTGCTGTGCTACTGAGGAGGGATTTAATTGGGTTGGTAAAATGACGATGGGCTGAATGGACAGGAAGGACTACTTTACCTTCACAGAGTGTTCAAAATTCTAGTGGTTTTTAGAGGGCAAGTTGAGAGTATTTATTTTCTCCCAATTGGTGAGTAGGCATTAGTTTGGACCTCACTACCTGAGAGTGAAGTCACCTCATCACATTTCAAATGCAAGCATACATTTAGGGGAGAGCAATGTCTTTGTGGTATTGTTGCTAGACAGAAACCCGGCTACTGTTCTCGGGTTCCAGGTTTGTATTCTGCCATGGCGGATGGTGGAATTTGAATTAATAAATATCTGGAGTTAAGAATCTTATGATGACCATGAAGCTACTGTCCCGGTTGTCAGAGAAACCCATCTCGTTCATGAATATCCTTCTGTCAGTGTGGTTGACTCCTAACTTTCCTGTGAAATGGCCCAGCAAGTCATTCAATTGTAACAACTACTACAAAGTCTCATCAAGGAAATGAAACCGGACGGACCACCTGGCATCGACCTCGGCACCAGAAATGATCTGGTCCTGCTGCCTCTGCAGTGTCCTCCTCACTAACATCTGGGGGCTAGTGCCAAAATTGGGAGAGCTGTCTCACAGATTAGTCAATCAACTGCCCTGACATAGTCATACTCACAGAACCATACCTTACAGACAATGCCCCAGACACCACCATCAGCACCGTCCCTGGATATATGCTGTCTCACCGGCAGGACAGACCCAGCAGAGGTGGCAGCACAGCAGTAAAAGTGTTTATTTAGCTTATTTTTCTCATCAATCTGTTCAGAGATGTTATTACACATCTCTGGACCAGGTTGAACTTGAAGTCAGGCCACCTAGTCCAAGGGTAGGGACACTACCACTGTGTCACAAGAGAGTCCTTTCAGGCATAGTGGTATACAGTCGGGAGAGAGTTGCACTGGGAGTCCTCAACATTGACTCTGGACACTGTGAAGTCTCATGGCTTCAGGTTAAACATGGGCAAGGAAACTTCCTGTTGATTACCACATACCGACCACCTCAGATGATGGATCAGTACTCCTCTGTGTTGGAGAACACTTGAAGGAAGCACTGAGGGTGGCAGCGGTGCAGAATGTACTCCGGGTGGCGGATTTCAGTGTCTACCACTAAGAGTGGCTTGGCAGCAGTACTACTGATCGAGCTGGTCGGGTCCTAAAGGACAAAGCTGCTAGACTGGGTCTGCTGCAGGTGGTGAGGGAACCAACAAGAGGGAAAAACAGGCTCGGAATACTGCAGGACGTAACTCACTTCCTGACTCTCCAAAGCCTGTCCACCATCTACAAGGCACAAATCAGGCAGCAACACTCGAGAAGCTTGATATCATTCAGGCCAAAGCACATTTGCAAGCATTCACTCCTCCCTTAGGGAGAGAGAAGGAAGGAATGTGAGAGATGATGGAGAGAGAGGGGACAGGTGTGGGGGAGAGAGAAAAGGAGAGTGAGGGAGGACAAGGTAGAGAGTGTAGGGGTGAATGGGATTGAAGATAGTGAAGTGGCGGGTAGAGAGGCGGAGCACAGGAAAGGATGGGTTAAGAGTGGGAGGACAGGGAGCGAGGGGGTAGAGATAGTGAGGGAGGACAGGACAGAAGAGACCAGCAGGTAGGGGTTCACCTTCTGGCCTTGTAGAGCATACCACAGGACAACGTGGGCTTTAGAGGGTGCTGCTAATGAAGAGGAGGAGCCAACATGATCCACAAATGGTTTTCTACCTTGTTGTTGCAGGCTGTGTGTCAGCTGCTGATTCACATGAGGCACCCCGAGGTGTACCAGCAGCTGGGTGTGGTACCGCCCCGAGGATTCCTGTTACATGGACCCCCAGGCTGTGGGAAGACACTTTTGGCACAAGCTGTTGCTGGGGTAAGACCCATCTGCAGTCAGAAACTATCAGCACAAGGATGTGACCTGATCTGGGATTGTTCCATTCCTGGTCCTGGTCCGAGAGTATTGTCTGGGAATATCCCAATCCATGGTGCATGGACTGGATGATGAGAATGTCCAGTTTGGGGTGTGGTCTGGGAATGCCCATTTCTTGGAGCATGGTCTCCGTTGGATGGTCCACTCTCGAGCGTGGGGCCAACTCCAAGGCACCAGCCTGGAACATAAGGGACTGCTCTGGGGGTCGGGTCACGAGCGAAGGGAACTGCTCTGGGGGTCGAGTCTTAAATATAAGGAACTGCTGTGGGGGTCAGGTCTTGAATATCAGGAGCTGCTCTGAGGGTCGGGTCTTGAATATAAGGAACTGCTCTGGGGGTCGGGTCTTGAATATAAAGAACTGCTCTGGGGGTCGGGTCTTGAATATAAGGAGCTGCTCTGGGGTTCGGGTCTTGAATATAAGGAACTGCTCTGGGGGTCGGGTCTTGAATATAAGGAACTGTTCTGGGGGTCGGGTCTCGAGTGTAGGGAACTGCTCTGGGAGTTTGTGGGATGTTTTGGGATGTGTTTTGGGTTAATATTTGCTGTATGCTGTTGGCAATGGTTCCCATGTCCTACAGGAGCTGGAGCTGCCCATGTTGAAAGTTGCTGCGACTGAGATTGTGTCTGGAGTTTCTGGAGAGTCTGAGCAGAAACTGCGAGAGCTTTTTGAAGAAGCTGTGGTGAGTAGCCGGGGGAAAGGAGAATAATATGGCTCTGTACAACTCAGTCATCATTCCAACTGCAGGCACATAGCTCGTACCCCCTTCCCCTCCCTGCCTCGTGACAATCTCCCCTCCCCGCCTCGCGACCCGCTCCCCTCCTCGCCTTGTGTGGGTGAGGGGATGGTAACGGTGCTCTGGGGATGGGGCTGGCTAGCTGTTACCCAATCACAGTTGGATCGTCCTGTTGCCTGTGTCCGAACCCGTTATCAGGAATGTTAGAACATAGAACATAGAACATTACAGCGCAGTACAGGCCCTTCGGCCCTCGATGTTGCGCCGACCTGTGAAACCAATCTGAAGCCCATCTAACCTAAACTATTCCATTATCATCCATATGTTTATCCAATGACCATTTAAATGCCCTTAAAGTGGGCGAGTCTACTATTTTTGCAGGCAGGGCATTCCACGCCCTTACTACTCTCTGAGTAAAGAACCTACCTCTGACATCTGTCCTATATCTATCACCCCTCAATTTAAAGCTATGTCCCCTCGTGCTAGGCATCACCATCTGAGGAAAAAGGCTCCCAGTGTCCACCCTATCTAATCCTCTGATCATCTTGTATGTCTCTATCAAGTCACCTCTTAACCTTCTTCTCTCTAACGAAAACAGCCTCAAAACCCTCAGCCTTTCCTCATAAGACCTTCCCTCCATACCAGGCAACATCCTGGTAAATCTCCTCCACACCCTTTCCAATGCTTCCACATCCTTCCTATAATGCGGTGACCAGAACTGTACGCAATACTCCAAGTGCGGCCGCACCAGAGTTTTGTACAGCTGCAACATGACCTCATGGCCCTGAAACTCAATCCCTCTACCAATAAAACCTAACACACCGTCTGCCTTCTTAAAAACCCTATCAACCTGGGTGGCAACTTTCAGTGATCTATGCACATGGACACCGAGATCTTTCTGCTCATCCACACTACCAAGAATCTTACCATTAGCCCAGTACTCTGTATTCCTGTTACTCCTTCCAAAGTGAATCACCTCACACTTTTCCGCATTAAACTCCATTTGCCACCTCTCAGCCCAGCTCTGCAGCTTATCTATGTCCCTCTGTAATACTGCAACATCCTTCCGCACTATCCACAACTCCACCGACTTTGGTGTCATCCGCAAATTTACTAACCCATCCTTCTACGCCCTCATCCAGGTCATTTATAAAAATGACAAACAGCAGTGGCCCCAAAACAGATCCTTGAGGTACACCACTAGTAACTGAACTCCAGGATGAACATTTCCCATCAACCACCACCCTCTGTCTTCTTACAGCTAGCCAATTTCTGATCCAAACCGCTAAATCACCCTCAATCCCATGCCTCCGTATTTTCTGC